CATTACTCCAGTCTTCAGTGTCACATGATCTTCAGAAATCAGTATAATATGCTGATTTGCTGCTCAAGAAACATTTCTGATTATTATCAATGATGAAAACAGCCGTGTTGCCCAATATCTTTGAGGAAACGGTGACACATTTTATTTTTCAGGATTCACAGATGAACAGAAAGTTAAAAAGAACAGCATTAATTTAGAATATAAATCTACTGTAACATTATACATGTCTCAACTCTCAATTTTGATCAATTTAATGCATCCCTGATTAATAAAAGTATTAATTTCTTTAATTTATACTGACATAAGTGAAGTAACTAAAATACAAGCATCATATATCTGCTTCCAAACCCTCAAAATCATTACGAATGTGCAGTTTTTCTTATTTCTGCTCTCTAAACGTCAGTCCAGTGACAGAATCTCAGTGTGTGTCTGTTAATTAAGATACAATAAGATTTCAAACTTTATTAGACCCTCAAATAAGATGAGCCGCCACCTTCATCTCCAGATATCAGATCACCGTGATCAGATGAAAGCCCAGCAGGATGTGTGTGAATGAACGAAACCTCGTTACCAAGAGCTTCAAATAAATATTAATTAACGAATACATAATAATAAATACATAAATATTAATTAATGAATAAAATTAAATAAATAAATACTAATTAATGAATAAATAATAATCAATAAAAACAAATCAATAAATAAATAATACAAATGGAAACAAACAACAAATAAATAAATAAATGTGATGATGGAGAAATGTAAAAATAAAAGAATGAATGAATGAATCAATGAATGAATGAATGCATGAGTGAATAAATGCATGAGAATCACTGAATGAATAAGGAAGGATTCTCACCACGATCTGGAAGTAGTCGCTGGGAATGACGGCCTCTCCGTTCTTCACCCAGCGGACGGTGGGCTGCGGGTTTCCCGCCACGGCACACTCCATCTCGATGTCCGTGCTTTCATACGCGTACGTGTTCGACGGGTAGCTGAGGAACTGAGGCGGCACTGAGAACAGAGAGAGAGAGAAATAACACCATAAGACAAACACTGATCATGATGGATCACTACAAACGCTTCATTCCAATACGGACTGCGTGTGTTGTGTTCTAACACTTATAGATTATCATGACTTTAGTGAAATCATCATGTAAGCATCAAATTATGATTTGAGTCTTTCATTGAATGTCTGATGCTTTGTTGTATTCCTCATTTGTCTGCTAAATGAAGAAATGTATATATGCAGTAAATATAATATAACATATAATGTATAATAACATATTCCTTACTTGTAAGTCACTTTAGATGAAAAAAAAACACCTTCCAAATTAATAAATAATAAAATAAAATAAAACTTTGTTATATTTTTCATTTGTAAGTTGCTTTAGGGTAAACGCATTTTCTAGCAAATAAAATAAAATAAAATAAAATAAAATAAAATAATAAATAAAACTGTTGTATTTCTCATTCGTAAGTTGCTTTAAATGAGAAACATCTTCTAAATAATAAAATAAAATAAAATAAAATAAAATAAAATATAAAATAAAACTGTTGTATTTTTCATTTGTAAGTTGCTTTAGGGTAAAATCATTTTCTAGATAATAAAAAATAAAATAAAATAAAATAAAACTTGTATTTCTCATTCGTAAGTTGCTTTAAATGAGAAACATCTTCTAAATAATAAAATAAAATAAAATAAAATAAAATAAAATATAAAATAAAACAAAATAAAAAACTTGTAGAGTGCTTCAAATGGCTGTC